TGAGCTATAAATATATGGAGAGCGCAACTATAGATACAGAAATTGAAGCCGGAAGTCGCGCGCGGCCGCCATCTTACTGTGACCACCTTGAGGAGTGAGCTATTGTGATTAATACAGTATTTTCAACTGTTTTGTTCTGTTATCTCGCAATAGAGGAACAAATCAAGTCAAATATGGTATTTTAAGCAAAAGCACATGTTCAAGAATGTTGGGGACCTCTTTTACATTCAAATGAACTCAATCGTAAAGAAACGTGTCTATATTTTTGACGACGTTTCTGAGTGCGACTGAGATGAATCATGAATACAGTCGTGACAACACCTTTCAAATGGGAATTTCTGATAGAGATCGGTGAATTATACCATAAGTTAACACATGAGAAATTGGTCATGAACTTTATTGTTTTGGAAATGGTGAATTTTATATGGACAAGATCATAATATACTCATATCACCTCATATTTGTTTCTATCAACGCAAACAATTTATGTCGCTTGTGGGATTTGTTAAAGGAACAAATGATTCAGGATGGTAGAAAAAATAGCAGGTGCGTTGTAGTGATCTTATTTATGTTAATGGTGGGTGCTTAAACGCAATGCCTTGTGAGAATATATACCATCCCATCCCTGCTTGTGTAATATGTTCCTTATTAAAGTCATAGTCATGATTAATTATCACTCTTCTGAGAAGACCTCAATGGTGTTTTATTCCAAAAGAAGCAGATTAAAATTAATAAATTTGAAAGAAATTGAAAGTTGTAAAATAATGGTATCTCATTTCTGTGCTTTTTAGATCCTATAGAGACAGTATAAAGTGAAGATGGGACAATGCTGCAAACAGTTACTTTCAGTTGCATGTCTAGATATGCATTATATTGCATTGTGTAAAAACAATTTAATTGTAAAGGTCTCTAGTATTATAGGATCTGTGTGAAATTCCAGTAGTTTGTTGCCAAAATATACTCATTTAGTGTGTTTTGCCAAATAAAGTTTAACTGCCTTGTATGAGGTAAAAATGGTTGTAACAAAAATGCAGGTTGAAATCAAGCCTTCAAAAGCATTAAACCCACATTAATATTTGCTCTATCTAGTGCCAGATGATTTTACTCATTAGTTAATTGCTGTAATACTGCAAGTGAACTGTTTAACAGAACTTGTCTATCTGTATACATGGTCATTTACTGTTTCTGATAACAGTAAATGTATTAGGACATCCGAAGGGGGTAGGGGGGTTAACTTCCTATTTCCTCTGTGGGGGTGGTATGGATGTTTTCTGGAATGACCCAATAGTATAAGCTATTGAAAAAAAAATGCTGCAAAAGAGAGTGGAAAAAAAATCATACATGGTGATGGGATAGAAAAAAACTTGCACATAATGATCCCAGAAACAAACTCCCTGCCAGCAGTAAATCACCCCTCGCCCCCTCAAAAGTTAAATGGTCGGCCCCTCAATTCATTCGTTTCTTGATAGTTTTGTCTTTTTACTGTAAAATGACTTAAGTAAAAATAATTTAAAGTACTGTTACTGTAAAATTACTAAAGTAAAAGTTTGTAAGCAGTACTGTAGTGTATTTTAATGCAATTGTAATGTGTGTAGGTGTGTCAAGGCAGCAGTCAGTCTCATAAAATATACATATTATGCTGTTTATTAATTGATCTGTATTATTGAGGGCAGAACATATATTAACAATGTCACAATTTCTTGAAACCTAAAAGCCTGATTTACTCCATGAAGAAAAGACAAAGCTAAAATGATCTCAGCAGGTTGCAGTATTCAGTCAACAAACAATGTTTTATAACCAATACATTTTTTTATGATTAGGCTGATAGATTTCACACAGATCCTATAATACTAGAGACCCTTTACAATTAAATTGTTTTTACACAATGCAATATAATGCATATCTAGACATGCAACTGAAAGTAACTGTTTGCAGCATTGTTCCATCTTCACTTTATACTGTCTCTATAGGATCTAAAAAGCACAGAAATGAGATACCATTATTTTACAACTTTCAATTTCTTTCAAATTTATTAATTTTAATTTGCTTCTTTGGAATAAAACACCATTGAGGTCTTCTCAGAAGAGTGATTTAATCATGACTATGACTTTAATAAGGAACATATTTATACACAAGCAGGGATGGTATGGTATATATTCTCACAAGGCATTGCGTTTAAGCACCCACCATTAACATAAATAAGATCACTACAACGCACCTGCTATTCTTTCTACCATCCTGAATCATTTGTTCCTTTAACAAATCCCACAAGCGACATAATTTGTTTGCGTTGATTAGGTCGATAGAAACAAATATGAGTCTTGTCCATATAAAATTCACCATTTCCAAAACAATAAAGTTCATGACCAATTTCTCATGTGTTAATTTATGGTATAATTCACCGATCTCTATCAGAAATTCCCATTTGAAAGGTGTTGTCACGACTGTATTCATGATTCATCTCAGTCGCACTCAGAAACGTCGTCAAAAATATAGACACGTTTCTTTACGATTGAATTCATTTGAATGTAAAAGAGGTCCCGAACATTCTTGAACATGTGCTTTTGGTTAAAATACCATATTTGACTTGATTTGTTCCTCTATTGCGAGATAACAGAACAAAACAGTTGAAAATACCGTATTAATCACAATAGCTCACTCCTCAAGGTGGTCACAGTAAGATGGCGGCCGCGCGCGACTTCCGGCTTCAATTTCTGTATTTATAGTTGCGCTCTCCATATATTTATAGCTCAGTGGGATTACAACGTAGCAGTTAAATCGTTTTCAGGCAGTAAGTTAGAAGACATGAAAGATTACTTAAACCCTCTTATTCGTCGGAAACCAGATGAAATTATTCTTCATATTGGTACAAACAATCTTAAAGATGCAGCTATGGAACCCCAGAGCCTGGCTGAAGGTATTTCTAGTCTTGCATTACAAATTAATACCAACTCTCCTACTACGAAAATATCTGTTTCTAGTTTAATAACTCGACAAGATAATTCAAGTCTAATAAACAAACTTAATGAGACGAATAAGCGACTCAAGGCCATGTGTGTTAGTTATAATTGGTGTTTTATAGATAATAGCAACGTAGACAGATCTTGTTTAAATCGACGCAGTTTGCATCTAAACCGTAAAGGAAGCAGTTTATTGAGTCGAAATTTTCTTCGTCATTTATCAAATTGATGTGTAATGCAGACTAGTGTTAGTAAAATTAAACTGCACGAGTCTGGCTTTTCTAAGGTCAAAGGTTTCAGGATGGCCATGCTTAATATAGTCAGTTTACCAAAGCATATAGACGAGGTTCGTATTTTACTCGCAACGTCGAAATTTGATGTTCTAGCAATTAATGAAACGAGATTAGATCGATCCATTTCTGACGATCTCGTAAGTATTCCAAAGTATGATATAATTCGTTTTGATCGCAATCGATACGGAGGTGGGGTTTGTATTTTCGTAAATAACTCTATTAGCTATCGCAACCTGAATCATATCACGCCTGAAAATCTTGAGGCTATTTGTATCGAAGTTTATAAACCATATACTCGGCCTTTCATAATCGCTACTCTCTACAGACCACCAAATTGTTCCGTAGACGTTTTTTCCAAAATTGAAAATCTATTCGATAATCTTGATTCTGAGCAAAAGGAAATGTACCTACTTGGTGACTTAAATTGTAACATGTTGGATTCTTCCAGTCATGTTACCAAGCGACTAACGTCACTCATGGAAATGTATCAACTTTCTCAAATAATTACCCAACCCACGCGTCTCACTCAAACAACCGCATCCTTATTAGACGTTTGTATCACCTCAAATTCGGAGAATGTTGTTTCTGCGGACGTTGTTCCACTGGGCATAAGTGACCACAATCTTATTTATGTAGTAAGGAGAGCCGGACCTATAGCGGGGTCCCATTCCCATAAGAGTACTGAAATTCGCAATTTTAAGCATTTTAATTGCAATAGTTTTCACGATGATCTTTATAATCAACCATGGGACCACATCGATCAGGAATCAAATATTGATCGCAAGTGGTCTCTTTGGAAATCTCTTTTTCTGGATGTTTTTGACAAACACGCTCCGCTGAAACTCAAACGAATTCGAACTAAACATAACATTCCATGGTTAAACCAAAATACCAAAAACTTGATACGAGAGAGAGATCGATTTAAACGTATAGCAATGATCACAAAACGTGAAACTGACTGGAATGCTTTCTCGACACTCCGAAATAAGATGACTAACACTATACGTCAAGATAAGGAAAATTATCATCGAAATATAATTAACAAGAATAACGATCCTAAACATGCTTGGAAAGCAATTAATAATATTTTAAATCGTAAGTCACCCAAATCAATTATCAATAATCTAAAAGTAAATGATCGAGACGTAGTATGCCCGAAGAAGTCTCGGATTTTTTCAATAAATACTTTGCTGACATAGGGGCCAAAGTTGCAAATTCGGTCGAAAATAGTAATTGTACTTTTGCTGAATATTTGAACAACTCCGCTTCCAAAAATACTATCTTTAGTTTTCAAAGTGTGAAACCACAATTAGTTTATCATCTATTGCAAACAATTTCACCTTCAAAAGCTACCGGGGTTGACAAAATTCCAGGAAAAATACTGAAGTTAGCCGCCCCTGTAATTGCTCAGCCTTTAACTAATTTGTTTAATTATTCCATAACTACCGAAACATTCCCATCCGAATGGAAGATAGCAAAAGTTATCCCTCTTCATAAATCAGGGCCTAGAAATCTGCTCGATAATTGCCGCCCAATTTCTATTGTACCAACAATCAGCAAAATATTCGAGAAAATCCTTTATAGACAGATATTCACTTATTTAAATACCAATAATATCATTTCGAAATATCAGTTTGGATTTAGACCAAATCATTCTACTGCCGATGCATTGCTACATAGCACGAACGAATGGTATACAAATTTGGATCGTGGCATGTTCAACATTGCTGTCTTTCTTGACCTAAAAAAAGCCTTTGACACAATAAATCATAAGATCTTAACGTCAAAGCTAGGTTTTTATGGGTTTGAGTCCTCCGCACTTAATTTTATTAGTTTATATTTAGGAAATCGATCACAATTGTGCTACGCGAATGGGCATTTATCTAATTCCCGTAATATTAATTACGGAGTCCCCCAAGGATCTATTTTAGGTCCTTTGCTTTTCCTAGTTTATATAAACGATTTACCAAATTGTGTTCATACGTCTAGTGTTAGAATGTTCGCAGACGATACTACTCTAACTGCATGTGGCAAATCATTACTGGAAATTGAATCGAAACTAAATAGTGATTTGGCAAATGTTAACGCGTGGCTCTTAGCCAACAAATTAAGTCTAAATCTTGTTAAAACTGAGTATTTATTGATTAGAAGTCGATCTAAGATCAATAATCTTACCTCTGAACCCAACATTGTGATCAAAAATAGACCCATTAAACGTGTAACTGAAACGAAGTCCCTAGGTATTCTAATTGATCAATTTTTATCTTGGGATAGTCATTTAGATGAATTATGTAAAAAGGTAGCAGCTGGAATTGGGGCTATAAAACGACTAAGGCCATATTTTAACCGTCTCACTCTCCTATCCGTCTATTATGCTCTGGTTCAACCGTATTTTGACTATTGCTATCTTGTGTGGGATCCAATTGGTACCACGCTTACAAATCGATTACAAGTACTCCAAAATAGGGCAGCAAGGGTCATCTTAGGATATAGAAATGAGCATGGTCAGTCTGAAGCCGCTTTGTCTGAATTGAAATTGAAAACGTTAAAAGAACGCAGATTAATCTTTAGGGGCAAGTTTATGTACAAAATTGCTCATGCGTAAGCACCACCTGTTTTAACCGATATCTTTGAAGACTCATCTGCTCCTCAACATAATTACAATTTAAGAGACCATGATTTCAAGTTTTACTTACCAAAACCAAAAACAGAATACTTGAAAAATAGCATCCGGTATAGTGGAGCAAAACTCTGGAATAGCTTACCTTGCGAGTTAAGAAGCGCAAATTCATTAAATCTATTCAATTCGTTGATTTCTGATACTAGCCTGCAGCCTTAAATCTATTATTATATCTTTATTTAACCATGATTTAACTAATTGTAAAATTTAATATGTAAGTGTATAACTATTGTATATATTTTATCATCACGCCCCTCTTGGAAATCAGCAAATGCTGAAGGGGTTATAGCGTGTTTAAATAAAGTTTTATCTACATCTACATCTACATCTACTCTCGACTATCGACCTTTACTCTCGACCCTCGACTTTTAGATACACTCGAGATTTGCAGAGATTTTATGCACTATTTAAAACACGAGCAGCAGTGTTTGTATAGGAAACTACACGGTTCGAGAAGTATTAATGAAAATCGCACGCGTGTTTGGCGAAATATTTATAATACCGCGAGTGCGTAGCACGAGCGGTATTATAAATATTCCGCCAAACACAAATGTGATTTTTCAGTTAATACTTCGAGAACATGTGTAATTTCCTATTAATATCATTTTAAAGTCAATTTTACACGAGCAATCAATGATAAGAAACATTGCATTTGTATTCAAGCAAGCATTGCTCGCTGCATGTGGTCAATTTTTGAGAGCACTTTCTGACATTAAAGGCACAGTTCAGCCTTTTGAACGATGGTTTTTAAGGCGCATTTCAGCCCTTTTAATTGAAAAAACTAACTAGGAAAATCAATTAAGTATATTTCAAAATCAGTAAACTCGATGTTTTTAACAATAAAAATGTTTTAAAATGTTAAAAACATTGAGTTTGGTGATCTTGAATTATGCTTAATTGATTTTCCTAGTTAGTTTTTTCATTTAAAAGAGCTGAATTGCGCCTTAAAAACCATCGTTCAACAGGCTGAACTGTGCCTTTAATTTTCAATTCATACCTGTAAAAACTGTGAATAATCTTTATTTATTCTTTTTTCTTCGTTATGAAAGCATAAATAAGAGTTCATTGTAAACTAAGAGCTCAGAAAATGTACATTTTCAACTAAAGTTGTTTGTTTTCAAGTTGACATTTTGTGTTTACCCCACGCATGATCCTGTGATTATTGATTGTTGTAGCAATATTTATTGGAAAGTTTGTATTTCAGCCGTTGGTACTTGTTACGGAATGGCTATGTAAAGCTATATATCTATATAGATTGTGTTAAACGTGGTTAAAAAATAAAAATATTTTGACTTTGTTGTTTCTGATGACATTTGCCGACTCTCGACTTTTTACTCTCGACTCTCGACTTTTTACTCCCGACTCTCGACTTTTTACTCTCGACTTTTTACTCTCGACTCTCGACTTTTTACTCTCGACTCTCGACTTTTTACTCTCGACTCTCGACTTTTACTCTCAACTTTCGACCTTTACTCTCCACTCTCGACCCTCGACTTTTAGATACACTCAAAGCATGCATGATGCTAAATATAAATCTCGACTATGATTGGATAATGGGTGAAGGTGCTAATTACAAAATGTCAATCATCCTTAATGGGCGAAAACAAATTTGTCATAGCCCGTCAGCTAAACGCCTGCTACGCAGGCTACTAAAGAATAGCTAGCCTGCGCGGCAGGCGATATTTCTACAGGCAGCGAAAATTAGGGAGGAAAAGGAAATACCGTCTGCCGCAAAACTAGGGGTTTTTGAATTACCCGTCCGCTGGTGAACGGGAAAAACGGATTGGTTAGTATTTTTATGTAGTTGTCAATCAACGGCTAAATTCGGTTAAATGTTAATCATTAACCAAATATTTTGACGTTTTGAAACTCTGCGTTTTGAAATTAGTTCACGTCAAGTCAGACCAGAAATGGAATAACATAATAAAAGAAGCAAATTAAAAGATACAAGCTGAAAAATAACACTCTAAATAGTGTTATTGATAGAGATTCGAACAAGAATATTTAACAAAGAAGATACGTCCGAAGGGGCCAAGTTATGATCGGCGAAAGGTATGGGCTAGTCTATATTTTCGTTCAGACAATTACATGCGTATTAATTTGATAATATACTATCTCGC